CGTGTTCATAAAAGTTCAGAGTTCAATCATCGAGTTTGAGGTCTTTCGGGTACTATTTTTTGGTAGCATCATTGGCGTCGTCTGTGGAAATCACTACCAAAAGCCATGGTCAATACACGTTTAGGTCTTCCTCCAGTAAGTTCATCCGTCCCGGATAACTCTCGTCCTCCTGAGAAACGCCATATCCCTCAAGAAGAATCGTCAGAGATGCCAGCACCTCCTCAAGCTGTTGTTTTCATCGAGCTTTTGAGGAACTTCATCAGCAGGTGGCTGCATTAACCCAATTGTTAAGCCAGAGAAATTCGCACCCATCACATACCCTAACCCCTGAAGGTGGCTTTATGGCAGACGCCCTGGGCTCGAGTCCGTTGTACAGCCCATGATGACGACAGGGTTGGAACTTCAGGTGCACTACAAGTGGCTTCAGGTTCAAGGTCCGTTATAATGGACTCCGCTGAACTTGCTAGAATTATTCAAGAAGGGATAGCAGCGGGTATGCAACAAGATACTCGGGCAGCAACAGGGTTCACCCCCAATACGTCATTCACTCCAGAAGTCCTCTTGCATCCCCTCCCCGATAGGTTCAAGTATCCTCGGATAAAGGAGTACGATGGGACAACCGACCCCATCAATCATCTCAATGTGTACACGGATATCATGAATTTACAGATTGCACCTGATGCAATAATGTGCAAGGCATTCCCCCAGACCATCACAAACGAAGCTAGAGATTGGTTTTCCACATTGGAACCGAACTCTATCGCCTCCTCGGATTTGGCCAATAAGTTCTCCTCCTTCTTTGCGAGCAACAAGCGAATCAGAAAGACAGCCGCATCACTCATGCAGATGCGTCAAGGGTGTAATGAAACACTATGCAGTTTCATAACTAGGTTCAATAAAGAAAGGATTCAAATCCCCTATCTATATATCACTGTTGCAGTCTCGGCTCTGACATACGCCATTAAGTGCGAAGCATTCAAGATGTCCTTGTCTAAGATCTCGCCGAAGTCAGTCACCGACCTACTCACACGAGCTGAGAAGTACATCAATATGGAAGAAACCATGGCCCCAAAAAAGAGAAGTTTTCTCATTAGGAAGGTTGGATAAAAAAAGGCCACATGAGTCCAGTTTGAGACAAGATACACCTAGGGTCAAGCCAAGGAAAGACCCACCCTCAACATTTTTTACCCATTTGAACACCTCAAGGTCCAACATCCTGATGGAAATCAAGGACTCGAGGAAACTGAAGTGGCCTCCCAGATTGCGGTCTCCCCCCGATACTCGTGACAAGAGTAAGTACTGTGATTTCCATAGAGATCAGGGACATACAACGGAAGACTGTTTGGCCTCAAAGCGGGAAATTGAAGCTCTTATAAAAAGGGGATTTTTGGGCTCTTACACTAGCAATGACAAGCACCCGATGAATAATCAGAACAGAGACAAAGGCCCAAAGGGTCGGGGAAACAAGCAACCAACTGCAGGTACTATCATTATCATTGTCGCAAGAATAGCCTCGGGATGAGATTCTAGCAGCGGGCATAAACAATATGCCAGGCAGCCTCCAATCATCTCAAGACCAGATTTTGGCCGTACAGAGGACATCACTTTTGGAACGGAGGACTTGGAAGGCATAGCATTCCCTCATGATGATCCTCTAGTCATATTGGCCATCATCGCCAACTTTGAAGTCAAGAGAGTTATGGTAGATAATGGAAGTGCAGCAAACGTACTGTCTCATGAAACATTTGTTCAAATGGAGATCCCATCAGAGTAGCTCAAGCCAGTCAAAACACCGCTCTAAGGATTTGGAGGTGGGGTCATCACCCCGTAAGGTATTGTCGGGTTGCCCTTAACATTGGGGCTAGAAGGTAAACAGGTGACGCAAATCACCACCTTGAAGTTGTCCGTACGCCGTGGCTTACAACGCCATACTGGGAAGACCACTGCTCAACAGAATTAGAGCTATTGTCTCAGCCTTCCACTTGGCTATGAAATTCCCAACTACTAATGGAATCGGGGTAGTCCGAGGCAACCAAACAATGGCCCTACAGTGTTATGTGACTAGCGTTCGAAAAATCAAGAACGACGTCATGCAAGTTACAAAGCTGGAGCTCGAGCAAGAAAATCACGGGAGACTGGCTCCGATGGAAGGATTGGAAGAGGTTGAGATCGAGCCTGGAAGGAAAGTGACAAATTGTCGGGGGCTAGATACAGCAGTCATGTCTGAA